AAATATTTCAGGATAAAATTTAGTCTATATTTAATTTAGCAATTTACTTGAAAACAATTGAATCAGTTCAATTCTCAATTGCAACAGTTAACTGATGTAGCAGCAAGCATGTGGCGACAGTGGAAAGAAACAAGTGTAGTTCAACAGGAAGTAGCCACTTCCATTAATTTGGATTATCATAATAAAGTGTTATATTACTTTACAATGTGGAACATGCCTGCAGTATTTATATTACATAATATACATGGAAAACATTTTTGGGGTTAATATTATGGTTTTTATGATCATTTAGAGCCAAAACAAATATTCAGATTAACTGTAATTTTAGTAAATTATCATTACAAAAAATAAAAACAAAGACCAATCATTTACAAAAAAAGGAATCATTTTAAGTAACATATTTGATTAATGGCAATGCTCTAGATCATGTTGCAGGTTTATATCTGATGAAGTATTTTTGAATTTAATTGAATTTTCTACACCTGCTCTTGTGTTGTTCAGGCTGAGTGAATCCTGGCCGTCTCACCTTCTCCACCTTGGCATACTTCTTGATGTCGATCTCTTTGCGTCCGTTCTCCTCCAGCTCGACGGTCCGAACGGCGTCCAGCGCGATGCTGCAGGCCAGTTCTGACCAGCGGCTCAGAGCTTTGGTGTTGATGGCCGAGTGAACGATCTTCAACATCATGGAGCGATCTGAAGTGTCCACTGGGGTGCTGCAGGAGCAGAGACAGACGGTTGGTGATCTGCTTAAAAGTCGCCTACTATGCTTCCATGAACAGGTTGGCTATGCAAAACATGTTTGTTACATTTTTTTTTGCATGAAATCATTCTTAGATAATGAGATTTTAGTCTGGTCAGTTCTGTTTTAGGGCATCTTTTCAATTCCAATCCAAATAAGCTGCTGGCCACACTCCTCAACTCAACATTTACACTCAAACGTGGAAAAAGCTGGAAAAATATGCTCAATTATACAGCCTTGAAAAGCATTAGTAAAGCCTCCTGCGCAACCAACAAGAATGCAGCAACTTGTTTATGACTGGTAAATAACAACACACTTGTCTTTTCCAGCAGCCATTGTACAGCTCATGCTTAGGCCTGTCATAATAAATTCTGCTGAACAGTAAATTGTCCCAGAAATTATTGTAATAAATTATAATACTGTTGTTTTGAGACCATTTTCAAGTAATATAATTATCATCCAGTTTTTAGTAGAAAGAGATAAAAGAGAAAAAATAATAAATCATACATATGGAAATTATTGAGTTTGTTTTAATTTATCATGTGATTAATTGTTTTATTGCAACAGGTCTACACATACAGAAGTAAAAGCAGCTGACCAAATGTTCTGGAGCTCTGCTTGGGTTGCTAGGTAATGGGGAGAAATCCACTGGGGTTGCTAGGCAACAGCACAGGAATGTGATTTAAGATTCCACAGGTTTTTGAAACGACTCATTTTCCAGACACCAAAAAACATTAAATTATTACCAAAAAAATGAAAACATATTTTAAGCACTTGTTTTTAGAAGCAAGAGAGATAAAATGACTTTACAAAAATATGAACTTTGCACACCAGGTGCCCCTTTGTCCTACAGCTCTCATTTTATTTTTGGCTGGTTTCCTGCTGGAGTTGTGACTGAGAAAAGCTGGTGTCTACCTGACTTCCTTCAGGGTTTCCAGCATGTCCTCCAGAGCCTGCCTGTAGGCACTGATGATCACCGTCGGATGCATCTGCTGCTCCAGAAACTGCTCAGCGACGGCCAACATCTCTCCAGCTGGGACACAAAGAAAAATCATTGATCAAATCAGATCCTTTTTTTAAATTATTATTATTTTAAAGCAATATTCTGTGGATTTAAAAAATCTAAATCCTTACCCAGAATGATGACTGAGGTGGTGCCGTCTCCCACCTCTTCATCCTGCGTGCGGCTGATCTCAATCATGGACTTGGCTGCTGGATGCTGCACCTGAATCTGTTGCCACAGACATGATGTTAGGACGAAAACAAAGCCAAACTGCTGTAATATCCATGTTGGACATTTCCAAACTGTCCAAGCTGAGGAAGTCATCAGTGACCCTGACCTCTCTGAGGATGGCGTTGCCGTCATTCGTCATGACGATTCCTCCTGTGGGGTCGAGTAACATCTGGGAGGAAGAACATGGAGGATTACTGACCACTGCAGACAATGGACGTAATGAGGATGTTGGAGCACACTCACCTTCATCATGGCCCGCGGGCCGAGGCATGTTCTGATCACATCTGCAATGGTCTGAAATAAACTGGGCCGTTAGAGACAGAACCACAACCAGAACCGTCATGAAGTTCAGATCTGTAGTGAACAGATTCAACAGCTGCGTTTCCATCACAAATGTAAGCAAAAGTTTGTCAATATTCCACTAATGTCGAAAAAACGCAAATTAGCAGTTGCGGTGCTTAGCCCCAAAACACTTAATAGAGAAACAATTCTTTGATGTGGTTTCGTTAAGCAGATTTATTTTTGAAATGTCAAACTGCACAGTTACATGGTCAATGGAAACGCAGCTTGTGTCTGACCTTTAAGAAGCAGAATGATGTTTTAGGAGAAATATTTAGTGGAAATCCACAACACTGTGGTTCAAACTGACCTTTGCAGCGTTGATGTTTCCTGCCTGGACTTTACGTCCCGACTCTCTCTTTATGTTCTGATCTGGAGGGGGGAAAAAACAGAGACGTTAATAATACTGCATGATGTGGCATCAGGAAGAAAAAACTTCATTTAAGATTAAAGTGTCATTTAGTTAAGACTTTAACAAGATTTCTGCAGGATTACCAACTCAAATTTAATACTTTTAAAGAAATCAGTTTCTGCTACTAAAACTAGGCATCAACAGTAAGAATCAAGGGTAGTGAAACTCCATTCAATTTGACTAACACACCACTGGCACACAGGATTTGCTTTAAGCAATATTCTGCCAGATATTGCATTCAAGATGTCGTACAATTACAATATTGCTCTGATTACTATCATTTGATATGGTTAATCAATCTTTCTCATCGTCATAAAGTCTTCACAACAATTCTCCAATGCATTTCGGTCACTTAAGTCTAAACCAGGAGAGCAGGATGTCAGTCCTATCCATTTTATTTATAAAGGACATAATTTTTTTTTTTATTGCTGTACAGTGGGGCATATAGAACCAAGAGAATAGTAAAATAAAAAGACTAAAAGTAGAATAAAACATACTAAAAATACAACAGAATTATAAAATAGAAAACACACCAATGGTCAGTGAAAGATTGTTGGATTGGCCAGCAGAGTAAAAATGTATTGTATGAATGATTCTAATAAATATTACAGTTAGCATAAATGATATATTAATTTAACAATAGTATTTATTGTAGCTTTTCTGTTAAATTAAAGCATTCCAATTTGTGCTGTTCTTGTTTCACATTTTTGTGCAAATGGAAACTACCTGGTACTTATAACATTAAAGTAAAATTCAACCCAGTGTCGTTTTTTTCACTTTCTAATTTTTATTTGACACTAAAATTAAAAAAGTGAAAAATTATACAAGTGTACTTCCTGCATTAATGAAATATCTTAAAATAAAAAAACAAAACATCTATTCAGTAACATAGTTAAAATATTAAACGCTAGTATATCAAAAATTATTTTCCTAATAATTTAAAATAGCTTGGTTGCATTAAATACCCAACACAGTCCAATACAGCTTAGACGTTTCCTAAACTAGTCGAGTTTCTTGCATATATTAACTACATGCCAAAAACAAAAATTATAACCGTGTTTAGAACTCAATGTTTAGTACACATGGATACAAAAACATGTATGTCTGTCAGTTTTCAGCCTTACAGGCACATGATCATGCTGAGTAACGGTGACAGTTAGCTCGATTTAGCTTAGCTTAACCTAGCATCTCCCTCACGCTTTTCTTCGCCTCTAAGCTAAAGATGCTAACACCGGCTGGGTGGAGACGTTCAGTGTGGTGATGGTCGTGTAGCAGGAGCTAACAATGCTAACTCCAACTGAGGAAGTGATGCGAACAGCATCAGCCTGGTTAGCACATGCTGCTGCTTAGCCGCTTTGTGCTTCAGCCGCTCCGCTCTGAATGTTAACGCCAATAAAATGAGTGGTACCACAACACCAGCCGAACACCATTTCTAACCTAAATAATAAAAACTGAACTTTAGGTGAATTTCAGTACTTACTGAGCACTAAAACCTGCTGGCCGATCATTTTTGACAACGTGCACCGAACAGCAGCCGCCTGGAAGGTTCTGGGAGGTACGGCGAGAGGAAGGGAGGGTCAGAAAGGGTGGACCCGAAATATGGCCAATCAGCGACGAGAATTAATTTGATTGACACATTAATCCACCAATAGAGTGAATTAAATAAATTTCGCACGCAATCCGCCTTTTAAGGAGAAAATCTGTACGAGACCCCTTACAAATTGTATTAAGCTGTTCTTGTTTTATAAGATATATACTTTTAAAATGTTTTTGAAATAATAAAGATATTAACATTATTCTTCACACCTTTACATACACATTCCTGGTAATTTAATGTTTTAAGAATATGTTTATGGGTTTGCAGAGTTAATAAATCAGTTTTTTAGTGTTGAGGGTCATTATTATATGTTGAAGTAAAGAAAATAAAAGGAGAAACAACAATACATGTAACCTACATTAATATTCACATTTAATAATAACAAAAAACTTAAAACAGATTTTAATTTAAAAACTGCACAAGCTCTTATTCAAACAGCCAGATGTGAGTTAACAGTTTATTAAACAGTCCCAGCAAAGATTACAGAGTAAAAAGGCTCAGAGCAGAGTTCAGGATCAGTTTCATCACATCTGTTACTTTGTCACGAACCTTAAAGTCTCTCGTAAAATATAAATAAATACAACAAAGCACCATATACAATTGTACATGTGATAAATAAATATAGCATTCAGCTTGGGTTAAAATACAAATAAATAAACCCAAAGCATATGTGATGGATTCATAAATAAATAAATACATAAATAAATCTAGTGAGGCAACATAAGAAATTATTTTGGGCATAAAGAAAGAAATGTGGGCGGACTTGGTTCTGTGGAGCTTCACACTGATTCTGCATCAGGTCCATCAGAGAGACCAGAACTAACTCTGTCCCTTTGTTTCTCACTGACATCGTGATTTATTCTTTCTCGGTTAAGATCGACGGGTAAACAAATGTCACAGTTCCTCCTTAAGCCCGGGCAGCACCAGATTGTGACTCGCCTCTTGTTTCAGGAACTTCAAGAAGTCCTTCAGCTCCCGAGCTCCCTGGGAAAAAAGCAGGAGACGTCATCAAACCTCATGAGACGACCCGCTGGACCTGAGAGAACCGAACCCTGCCCGGCTGAGAATTACCTGGTACCGAACAGGATCGTCTTTTTTACCCACTGGAGCAAAATAAATGGTTGGAAAGCTGGAAAGAGGGAAAAACAGCATAAAACAAAGATCTGCTGAAAGTTTTCCTACCTCAGTAAACATCTTAAATCTTTTTCACTTTACAAACCCAAACTTTAATGGATTTAATTGGCATTTTATATGATAGAGAAGCAAATTTGTGCACATTTAAACTACAAGCCATGCACTCACAGATGCATTCATAGATGAGTGAAAAAAAAAGACAAATGAAAGAAAGCTGCAAAAAGTCAAATTTGAAGTTGAATCTTTTTACCCCACATGCAAAACTATCCAAGTAAATCACCCTAAAAACATCCACAGTGAAGCCCGGTGACAGCAGAATTATGCTGTGGGACTATTTGTTCAGCAGGGACGCTAGTCAGAGCCAATGGGAGGATATATGGGGATAAATAACAGACAATACTGGAAAAACAGACGAAACAAACAACCAGAGCTGAAAAAAATGTGGTAATAAAATTAATTACGTCATGTTGGTGTAAAATGACCAGGATAATTTCTATCGTAACAGAAATGATTTCTGTCACGATAACAAATTTTGCTGGGCGATTAATTGTCCCAGAAATCACGGCTACAAACAATAATATTGTTATTTTGAGACAATTTTCAACTAATAAAATGATAATGGCAAAATAATGCTTGTTTTCCCTCTCAAAGACGAATAAATTTTAATTATGTAAAAAACATTTTAAACTGGAACTGGAAAACATTTTAAATATCCAAAATAAAGAACTAGATGTCCAAAAATTATAAATAAAAAATGAATAAAAACCACACACAACAGAAACATTACATAAAATGGATTATTACGCCCCGGTAAACAGAATTGCCATTTTAAAAAATATGATCAGAATATAAATTATCGAGCTTATTTTAATTTATCACGCCATTAATCGAATAATAGCTTATTGTGACTAATTAATGATAAATAAGCATAAAAATGAGATAAACTTTTGTAAGAAACAAAACCCACGAGTCTGGTTATTTCAGAAAAACATAAAAAAGCTCCGCAGTAACAGGAAGTGGTGGTAGGAAGTGAAACCTCACCCCTGGACATCGTATCCCAGCGGGACGTCGTTATCGACGGCGTTCATCTTGGCAACGACGACGTTTGGATCAGAATACAGCTGAGAAAACAGAGGAAGATTATCAATGCTGTCATCATATCAGTTGAATAAAGACGCAGTTCGGCCAGAAGAGGTCTTAAAATTATGAGAAAAAAAATTTAACATTGAATAATTAATTTTTTGTTATATTTTATGTCAGAGTTCTCTTAAAAAATGCTTCATTCTCCAAATATTACGACTTTATCCTGGTAATATTAAGACTTTTTTCTTGTAACATCATCATTAGCCTGACCCTTTTATTTATTTGCACCTGAATTCAAAGTCCAAATAAATAAAAGCTGCTAAACATGCTTGTCAAACAAGATGGCTGCCCTCAGCATGATGACATCACTCTGAACTATGGAAACCCAATGATGGAAAAAACCTTGATTTTCCAAATATTAAATCCTCAATAATTCAATAAATTGATTACATTGATTGACTGCCAGCCGTAGTTGGAGGTGTGGACGATGAGTTTGTTGCAGCTAAATCCGTTCAATGCAATAAAAAAACAAAATCTTGTACCGTTTCCGCCAGCTCCCTGTAAACCGGTTCCAGCTTCTTGCAGTGTGGACACGACGGAGAGTAAAACTGGATCAGAACATCTTTATTTGGATCGTTAACGATGTCATCAAACGACTCGGCAACCACCACCTGCAGAAGACAAGCAGAGGTCAGAGGTCACAGCAGAACCTCCACAGGTCATTCCATCAATCACTTAAAGCACTTTCAGTGTTAAATTAGAATTTAAAGTTCATTGAGTTTTGAGAAAGTTTTCTTGCATTATTCTGCCATTACTTGAAAATGGCCTCAAAACAACATTATCGTTTATCGCGATAACGTCTGGGACAATTTATCGTCCAATATCAGACTCCAGGCATTTTTTTCTTTACAATCTAACAAAATGTAGAAAAAAGTGAATTTTGTTGCATTTTCCTGCCGAGTGAACGAACACAGCCTTACTGTCCATCTCACCTTCACAGGAGCGGCGTTCTTCTCCGGTACCGGTTCTGATCGGATGTAACGCTTCAGACGACCTGCAAAGTAATCCTCCAGGAACCGCTCCAGCGACTGGCCGTCCCTCCTGAAACGCACGCCGCCACGTTCAGTAAGCAGAAGGCGACCCGACGCAGCGGCACGCGGCCCTGGTCGGCCATGTTACCTACGTGAACTCCTCCCTCATGGTGTACTTGTGGCCCAGTTTGGTCCGGATGGTGACGAACGGCAGCTCGCCGCCGTCCGCCGTCCCCAGGCCGTAGTCGTCCTCCAGTTCCGCCTGGAAGTCCCTCTTATTGGCTACTGAGAAGATTAGGCCACGCCCACTGTATTTGGAGGCAACCTTCATCACCCTGGCAACAAGCATGAAGAGGAGAGAGATGAACATTTGTTTCTACAAGACAGACAAACTCATCTTCATTTTGGGCCATAGTGTTCTTAAAGGGCCGGTTGCGCCAGAATCTACTGACATGTCAATAAGAAGCTGTTTGCTTCAGTATTCAGTGTTTAATAAAATGAAATAACATCCAACATCTTTTCACGCTGATCAGACCAACCAGGATTTATGATTGTTTTCATGGCAAGTTAGAAATATTTGTAAGAGCTGATCAAACCAGGACCCAATAATCGATCAGAGAGAAATCAATCTGTCCAATAATCCATCTGCTCATCCATCAGAGCATCCATCCATCCATCCATCCATCAGAGCATCCATCCAAGCATCCATCCAAGCATCCATCCAAGCATCCATCAGAGCATCCATCCAAGCATCCATCCATCCATAATAGTCAGCTTCACCTGATCAGTTGTTGAATGTTTGTTTTCAGAGATTTAAATATTGATCCCTGAACAGCTGATCTGTCCTTCGCTGATCAAACTAATGAATATCCAAACATGACAGTTCTGATCGTCTGCTGAGCCATAAGTACATGTCCATTTCAAAACTTGACACTGAAATGCTTCAGATGAAGGAATCAAAAACCATTGCTTGTTTGAGCATTAAACACTCTGCAGAAAGACTCTGTAGCCTGCATGCAAACACAGAAACCTATAAATAAACCCGTCTTGTGTGACGGTGTGTCACCTGTTCCTCCAGTAGTTTGACCCCCGGACATTGTGATGGTAGTCCAGGTCGTAGTACGCCGTCAGCAAGTCACGAACTCTGAGGCGGTCTCTGTTCTCCATAGTCATGTGAGGACAGAGACCATAGCTGTGCACAGAAAAACAGAGAATAAAACCAAGTAAAAAAACAGATTTCCTCTTTTATCTGCAAAGTAGACAAAGGCCCACATGTTGTCTCTGATGAAGCGTCTCAGAGAGCTGATGGTCAGGTAATCGGTGAAGACAACGACGCTGTCCTCGAAGGCGTTGGCCAGTCTGGGAGGCCTGAAGAGCAAAACGCTCCTGGAAAAAACAAGAAAACGGAGCAAAATTATTTAATTCTGCAAACTGTTCTCAAGATGTGTAAATCTGCAAAAACACAAAATCTTACCAAGTATTCCTAGTGTCTAGTGATAATATCTTTGTACACTTGAAATGAGGCCAAACTAACCTAAAAGTAACTTTAGAAAAACAGCTTTTTTATGTAAATACTGCTTTAAAATGTCTTGTTATAGCATACTTGAAAATTGTAGTAGCACAACATTAACATATTTTTATTCAAGTAAAAGTAAAGATTTACTATCTTAGAAATTACTCAAGAGTATAAAAGTATTTGGTAAAAAGTCAACTCTAGAAATCAAAACGTCAATTATTTAATATTTAAAAACTACATAATCAGATAGACCAAAATACAGCTATGTGGATATGTTGGTATTTTAAAGACCAAAATGAAAATAATTCATTTAAATAACATAGTTACATGTGTGTCAAACTCACATTATTTCAATAAAAACTTGTGGAATTTTAACAAAAACTGCCAGTTTGTGTCTGGATTTCCTGGTTAAATCAAATTGTTGTTCTTTGTTCAGTAAATTTACTTACGGTGGGTAGAGAATCCAGAAATTTACTGAAGTAAAAGTAAAAAGTACACTGTAGTAAAAATACTCCTTGAAGTATTTTTTTTTCAGAAATTTTACTCAAATGTAACTGAGTAAATGTAACTAGTTACTACCCACCTCTGACTAAATAATTTATTATTAAATACAACAAGCTCCTAAATCTTCCCAAAAAGTTACTTGTAAACTTGAAATAAGACAAAACGAATATATTAGCACTAGAAACTGGGCCAAAGACACTTGGTAAGACATTGTGTTTTTCAGTGTTGGTGTCTGAAAACTCACTCGGTTTGGGTTTGCTCCTCGGCGACCTGCAGGTCAGTGATGTGAGCAAACCTGAACTGTTCTCTCAACAGACCGGCCGCCTTCAGGAACTCATCCAGACGCGGCGCATCGGTACCTGAGAAAACACCTGGAGAACAAAAACACATGACTATATGAGAGAGCGCCCCCAGCTGGACCCAGCCCAAAAGGACAGGCGGTGTCATACCGACGATGCTGGCGTCGTAGTTGTTGACAAAGTTCTGGAGGTCTTCTTTACTCTTCAGGTGGAGCGAGTCTGGACCAGTCTGCTTCGTCATGTAGTGGTAGATCCCACCTGAACAAACATGTCAACATAAATCAGTGTTTTTAACTTTTTTCCCCAAAATAACTTTTATTGGGTTTTCAAAAATGCTTCCAATGATACAGGAAAAAAAAAAAAAAAATTGTCTCACGTTGAAGGAAATGTCAAGGGCAAATAAATTGTCTTTCCTACCAAGCGACTTATTTATGATATATATAGACAATGTATGAGAAAACCCAACAACAAACAAAACAACAAAGGTTTCTCTATTTTTTCAAGGGTTAGCCCAAATTATCTTACTATTATGTGTTTCAAAGAATACAAACTCAAGTGTGCAGTTCACGCAGAACAAAGAAGTGAAGTTGACAAAGATGATGGATACTTCATTAATCCAGTTAATATTTTTTGGTTTTACTGGTACTCTTAATCTTTTTGCATAAATATATTAATCTATATATTTATCTTATTATTATTAAAACCTTGAAACAAAGTCTGTCTACGTCTGTGTCTAAATCCATTGGAGTGATTATTTTTCTGGACATATGATGTCCATCAGGATATAAATCTAGGATGAACAGCTGGTTTTACACCTGGTGTAGTCTCTAATTTTTAAATTTTAAATCTGTTTTTCTTGTTTTATGTTTTTACTTGCAGAGCGAGGCCCATCATAGGGAGCAGAGTCCTTCCCAAACCTGAAGATCTTCAGAGTCGGATACCCAGTGACGCCAAAACGACCACAGGTCTCAGAGTTAGCAGTGCAGTCCACCTGGCAGCCAGAGGGAAATGAGTCAAACCTCTATTTTTCTGTTTGTGATGATAACATCAACAGCAACAGCAACAATATTAACAAACCTTTGCTAACTGAACGATTCCTTTCAGCCGACCCGCTGCTTTTTCAAACTCTGGAGCCAGTTTCTTACAGTGGCCACACCTGAGAGACAGGAGGGAAAGAAACCAGACAAGAGGAGAGGTAAACAAGTATGGAGTCAACCTTAATTAGAGGTGTGTACCGCTCTCTGTCTAGGCCCAAGTCAAACTCTGATCCCACTGAATCCAACGAACTCTAGTATCTACGTTTTGTTTATAAGTGATGGTTGGATGGAGCAGGAGATGGACAGAATGCTGTAATGTTGCCACTAGCCGAGACAGAAAACTAGAGGTCTAGACTCACTGGTGGGTCCGCGTTCTGACCCAGATATCTTCAAAGTGATAAACAGCTTTTCTTTTTGGATCAGTGAAGTGCACAAGAAACAGTAACATTCAGACGTTCACGTATAGACGCAGCTGAAATGAGCTTCGACAACAAGGTGCATCTTCTACTGCATTTAAAGAAGTCAGTAGATGGGGGAGCATTTTACTTTGGAGGATTTTCAGAAATTTACCCCTGGAACAAGATCAGAACCTCATGCAGAATGGATGGACTGAAGATGATTGGTTGGTTGGTTTGTTGCATGGGTGGATGAATGGATAGATGGACTGAATAGAGAGGGATGGATGAATGGTTGAATGGACAGACAGAATGATTGATGGAAGCCGGATAGATGAATGAAACAAAAGAACTAGTAGAGGACAGCTTTATAAAAAACGTTTAATATCTTGCCCCAAACCGCAATAGGCATTTAGCATGGATGCTTAGTTTCAAAACCTAGTCATAATATTCTTGTAGCTAGATAGTAGTTAGAGTATTTAATCTCTATGTATGTAACTTTAAAATCCAGATATTCTGAAGTGGAATTAATGAGAAAATCCCAGGAACCTACAGCGGCATACGAAACAAATCAAACCCACTGACTATCTGTCCGGAGCTCGGAGAAAGGATTACCATGGAGCGTAGAACTTCACCAGCATGGTCTCGTGCTCCGTTGCCAGGTAGTCGAAGTCCGCGTCCCCGAGCTCGAGCACGTCTCTGCGCGCGCACAGGGCGGTTGGACAAAGAGACACCAGCGCCAGCGAGACAGCGGACAGGACAGGGATAACGGGCATCATGAGGAAGACAGAGCGGGACCGAAATGTGACGGGAAAATTAAATAAACACGAAGGAAATTGAGCTGTTACTGAGCGGGGAAGACTGTCGCTACATTTAGCGTCAAGCTACCTCAAAATACAGACATTTCCGGTCACACCTAGCAAAATAATAGTTGACTGTTTAACAATGATTTCTTATTTTTATCTCTCGACGCCATCTCTTTAAAAAGAGGTACTCGTTACTCTCAACATTTGCACTAATTTAACATAAAATTATTCCAAATATTACTCTTTAATTTGCAAATCAAAGTAACGGCTTTTAATTTGAAGTATGAATGGCTTTCGATAGTTTCTTCTGTAACATGCCAATAAATATACAACTGCCAAATTAAAGGCGGGACATACGGAGAGAAATGCAAAAATCTCTTTTCTGATTGGTCCTGCGACATGTAAGCGATGTGATGTAAGCACGCCATTGGTCAAACAGAACACCAATTTTAAAGACCTGTTCCTTCACTTTTTATGAACAAAATCTAAAATATATTACCCCCTAATTATATTAAGTATGCATAGATGATTCTATGAATAACTAAATACATTTATTTAGTATTGGGTAGAATTTATTTTAAACATTGGGAAAGACGAATTTGTAAAATAAATGTACTAATAAATGTCCCATTAAATATTCTTTTTAAATGATGAAATTAAATAAACAATTAAAAGGCAGTTGGCAAACCCCTGCTGTTGCATCTGCAAAAGGTCTCTTACATTTGTTTTGGTGTTGATGCAAATCTATAAAAAAAAGAAAAAAATAATTTTTAAAAAAATATAGGACATTTTTTATTGAATTTGTGTTTTTTGTCCATGTTAAATACAAATAAGCAGTCACTTCAAGAAAACCTTCATTGGAGATGTAATCAAGGCTCTTAAGTTTTATTTTTGCTCTATTATGACAAGATAATTGTTTTTTCTGATGTTCAGAGTTTTAGTATAAAAACCACTTGTTAGTAGAAGTTACAACAAAAACAAAAGCTGCATTTCTACTTAAGGGAATACCAACTTATGTTAAATTGCTATTAAACGGCTATTGACCACCAATCCTGAATAATTAAAGCTGCCAGTAAAAACAGGTTTGGTTTTGAAGGGAAACCAAATGCTTAAGGCATTTCAGAGTCCAGGAACCCAACATGGAGAGCGCCAGCATCAGTTTTTACACTCATTTCTTATGTCTTCAGCTCGGCAGTGGGAGGATTGAAACCAAACCTTCAGAGCATCAACCCATCATCACTGAGGTCATTACAGACATATTAAACACACACAACAATAAATACGTTCAAGCTGGTTCACCAGAAGTCTGAATCCCTCCTAAGATGTTCACAGTGACCGGCACATTCAGGGTTAAAGCTCGGAGGAAAGCTGGACTTTCAGAACCTTTTTCACAGCACCAGGGTCAAATCAAAGCTAAAATGAGAATAACTAACAGTGATTCTGTGTTTGTCCCCTCAGAGGAAGTGTCCTGCCCTGGGCTCTTCCTCCTCTACTTAAAGTTCCTGAATTAAACCAGCTGTGGCTTGTGAGCGCCCTCTGCTGGGCTGGATTCAGGTAAACCGGTCACCGGTCCAGAAATGGATCCGCTTTGTAGTCAGAAACAAACTCCTCCAGAAGCATCTGGATCAGTCCGGAGCCGATTCTGCTCTACTGGACCTCTGGGACGCGGAGAGGAAAAGCTTCATCAGGTCCTGGAAACGAAGTCGTACCTGCAGGAAATCATGTGGCGTCAGTTCAGCTCAGGAAGCGGCGATGCACCCGAGGCTCCGCCCACTCTCACCTGTTTGACAGTCTTATTGCCCAGCAGGGCGGACACCTGTCTGAATGTCTTTGTTGTGGCTCCTCTCTGCTGGCAGGCAGTCAGGATGGCGCGGTCAGCATCACTGGAACAGGAAGAACAGTTGCTTGAAACTGATCGATTAACAAAGTTGATTAATTAATCGATTTTAGAGGTTAGAAGAATTTCTGGTGTTTAAACATTAAATTTTTGGAAAATCCAGCATTTTTTTTTTCCACCAACGCTCTTCCTGCGTTTCCACAGTTCAGGTCGGCCATCTTGTTTAACGATCAGTTTTTACTGCTTCTATTTATTTGGACTTTGAATTCAGGTCGACTCTATGATAAAAGAGTCAGGTTCCAAAAATAAATACAATAAAATAAAGTTTTATATTAGCAGAATAAAGTCGTATTTTTGGAGAATGAAGCAGTAATTTTATGACAACCACAGGGAACCTAACAAAAAGTTAATTACTCACAGCAGAGTTTTATTTAATATATTTAGAGTATTTTTTTATCTTAAATTAAATGTAGTTTTGACTTAATATTGGCTCTGAGTGTGGCCTGTTTTACAGTCTATATACTCCAATTAATTAATCGATTACAAAATAAGTTAGGGTCGATCAGTCGTTTAAGTGCTAGCAAAACGTAGCATTTCGCAGGTATATTATATTTAATCCACTTCACAATGCTGTGCTACTTTGTGCAGGTTTATCATATAAAAACACATTGAAGCCGTTTGTTATAAATATTTAACAGGTCAGGCCAAAGAACATTAAGGCAGAAAATTAGCTGCAGTGAGTTCAACAATTCAAACTGAGCTCCAATTTCTTGGAGAGTGAATTCAGAAACATGACGAAACGTCCTGATCTTATGAAGCTTTTATAAACGTGATCTGTTCTCACCGGGTCCAAACCACGACCTTCTCCCCGTTGGAGGAAACTGTGATGTTTTTGGCACAAACCGCCTGCTGCTCCCTGTCGTCATCTTCATCACCTTCCACCAAGGCGTCAATGGACTCCCCTCTGCCGCTGCCGGGGTTCTGGCAGGCGGAGTCCGCCGCGCTCTGGGAGCAGCTGTGGAGCTGCTGGAAAATCTCCTGGACCTCGTCCTGCAGGTCTGGATGCTTCCTGAGCAAAGACGAAACCTGAGAGGAAACGGTGGGAAGAGAAGACAGACGGGCCAACAAGACGGAAACAAGTTACAAAACTATCATAAAAACTACAAGAATGTTGTATATTATCTATGGATATGAGCCAAAACAATTCATTGTGAAGAATTGATTATTACAATAATAGTTAATATTTGATTAATTAACTGAAGCTAAACTCAAAAAAGGCCATTTGATGAAAAAAAAGTCAGAGCAGATATTAAGCCAAAACTATACAAAATATAGATATACATTTTGGCTTTAGACAAAAACTGTTTCGTCTGTAATTTTGTTTTATCCAAAACTCTTTAAGTGGCATATTTTATATATTCACCCAGTTTAAATTCACTGAAGAAATGTAATGTTATTGCACTTTAGGCAATAAAATGTTTATTTTTTTAAAATGGAAATTAATTATTGGTTAATTTGCACCTTTTAATGTATTTCTAATATTGGAACAAAAAATCTTAAGTGGATAAATGAATAATGAGCAAACTAATCAATTAATCATCATAATAATAATCGCTAGATTAATTGACAACTAAAATAAGTCGCAAATCTACATAATACATCATTTTTATGGCACTGGTTGCCTTTCATAAACAGGATGAAGAGGAAGCAAATGGTCCAGGAATCAAAGCAGGAACAAACGAATTGAGGTCAGTAGCCTCTGTGTTCAGCATGTCGCTAGAGAACAAGTGGCGCACTGACTGAAGATTTACAGCTGATCACTGATTACCGATCTTTAAAAAGCCTGACCTGTGATTCCGATCTTATAATATGACATTTTTCTGTCTGAAATGTCGCTAAATACAGCAAGACAGTCACTGAGTTGGTAAAAGTGATGTGACTATCACTGTAAACGTGCAGACATGACCTGGTGGGCCGGTCTGTCAGTCAAACCTTTCTAACGGCAGAGCAGAAGAGCACAGAGGCTGTAATTTAGACCTTTCGTGAGGCAGATGAGATCAGTGGATGAGATCGGCTTCACATGTAAATATCGGCCGATCTAAGGAACCTGGCGACAATAAATCAGTGCGCCCCCACTGAGAACTGTAGATCTTGGGAATACTCACAGAGATTGATGCCACTAACGGTTACTATGGTAACCAATAAAATAAATGACTCGTGAGAATGCTCGTGTTCGCCGCCTACCTTGTCCACGTCCTCCGATGAGGGGGCGGAGCTTCCCTGCAGCACAGACACCACCTGCTGGTAGAGCGGCGAGCTTTCCCCCAGGCTGCGGCCCATCCGCCTCAGGAACCGCCGGCTGCGCTCAAACAGCTGCTGCTCCAGCAGCTGGCGGAGAGGAAGAGCAGCTCAGCTTGCTTCCTGAACTAAATCACTGTGGCGGAGACTCCACTCACCAGTCCACATCGGCGCGCCTGTCTGGGGTTCAGGAAGGCGGCGAAGTCTTTGAGCAGCTGAGGCCACGGCTGCAGCAAGCAGCCCAGCCTGTCATAGAGAACCTCCGGGGCCCCTGAGGGCCCCGAGGCTGAAAACTCATCCAACACCTGCAGCAGCTGCTCAGAAAGGCCCGGACGCACCTGGACCGCTTCACACACCTACACAGGAACCAGCCAGAACAGAAAAGAAAGAGAGAAAAAGTCCAGTTTAAAACAGGCTGGACAATAAATCAAATATACAGCAATAGACATGAGATCAATATTTACTATTAATATCTATTGAGATCTTAATAATACACACACAGTCTCCAGAGTTGTGTGCTTTAAATGTTGAATGTATATGTGTGTGCTAACACACATATACTGTATATACACATATACAGTGTTAGTCTGCTATAGTTAGCAGACTAACACTGCTAATTGTTATTTACTGTTGTACAGTTATTATTACTAATATTAACTATTATTTAAAATTTTTGTGCTGTGCTGGGAAAAACAAATGTCCAAATTGGTGGAATCAACTAAAACTGTTAGCGTTTAACTATCCCACTTTACGGTTACCTAGCAACTCAGTCATTCTTTGGTTACCTAGCAACAACCTGTGGCGTAACTTGCCCAGTAGCAGTTTAAAGTTTCACCACTGTGCTTCATAACCGCAACTGAATCGAATCCTCATCCTGCATCACTTCATGTTATCCTGTGGAGTTCAACTCCAACAAAGTAAGAAATAATGTTTGTGATGTGAAAACCTCCAGAGCTGTGAATACTGTCTCCA